AGTGCATTTTTGCTGCATTTTTTATGTGCTTTGTGTTTTAATCTGCCTAGCAGCAAGAAAAAAAATGTAAAACACATCAAAAGCACAGCAAAAACGCAAAACGCACCGCAAAAAGCACTGCAGAAATGGATCAAATGCAAACTGTATAGGTGTGAACCTAGCCTTAGGTATTATTTTGCCATTGTTTTATAATTTTTTATGCATGCTTTTGGTTTTTGGTTTTTATGTAGCATCAGATTTAAAAAAAATAATATGCAAAATATCTTTAACAGGAAAATTGAGGTAAGACTATAAAAAGAGAGATTGCTCACGCAATGTCAGTTTGACTGCAAATTTATTACTGTGTTTTTTCTATGGCGTGAAAGCTATCATTAGTGAAATTAGTCAAACTTTTTTCCACCTATTCTTGCCCTTACACTTCATAAAAATTTAAATAGCTGTCAAAACAAACCATGATTGTCTTCCCCCCAAAAAACTATAACTGTGAATTCAGCACAGATACTGACAAATCAATAGAGGTGTATTAAAACATACCTCTGACCAGGATATTGACATTTGAATATTTATGGATGCAGCGATCCTCCCATCTGAGTGGTTGAGGATGACCCCCCTAGATGGTGAGACAGTCCAGCATTTCACTTCTCAGTGCAGAACTTTTTGTGGGTTACAAAAGAAAGTTGAGCTGTAGTCACTTTCATCTTTGTAAGGTTTATTTAGCCTCAATTAATTCTAGATAGAGGGTTAGGGCACAGAATGCCCAAATATAATAAAACCAGCTTGTCTTCTAGTAACAATAATGAAGTTCGTGCTTTAAACATGCCCAAGCAGATCAGGGATTCTATGAGAGCAATCAATGTCTGTAGGTCAATTTGGATCTACCCAGGGGCGGACTGACAACTCATGGGGCCCCCGGGCAATAGGGGATCATGGGGCCCCTGTGTCCTTGCCCAAACTCAAAAATGAAAAATGAAAAAGGTACCAGGGGCATCTCATGGGGCCCCCTACTGACCCCGGGCCCTCAGGCAGTGCCCGAGTTTCCAAATGGTCAGTCCGCCCCTGGATCTACCTCTTTCTCACAGTAAATTCTAGGATCCTTGACCCTATGCAAGCAGCCACTGGTACCTTAGTTGATGAGCAATTAGAACTTCTTGCAATGTTCACTGGCAACAGCTTCTGCCCAGCTCTACCCAATTAGTATTCATGACCCCTTACATTATATCTTCTTAATGCTCACTACTGGAGAAGACTCAACAGCAGCAGGTAGAAGCAGTCAATGTCCAGGGCCTAAGGGAAACCAAATAAACACAGAAGAGGTAAGCAAATAAAGATTAGACTGGCTACAGTCCAACTGCAACACTAAATTTAGAATAGAGACACTCCAATGTAAGGCAGGGTTCCTAGAAGTGATTCTTAACAAATAGTAAATAGCTTTAAAATAAATCCTCACTGTCCTCTATAGCTTGAGTCAGAATACAGCAATACATCCTCTAAATTCACACTAAAAGCAGTAAAGTTGTTATTGTGGGGTAGATAAGAGGTAGATAACTTGTTTTAAAGTTATCCACCTCTTGTTAAGAATGTAATCATTGGAATATCCATAGCCTGGCCACCATTCTACGTTGAAGTATATGTATTTTTTTTTTGTTATTTTGGATAGAGTGAGAAAAGGTTAGCAATCCTGTCAGCCAGGTTTTTATTGCTAGATGTTGAGGAGACTATTTGTCCTTGTAACCACAGCTACTGGCACGGAAAGCTAGGGAAAATTGACAATGTTGTGCTGTCGCTGGCACAGGAATAGAGGGGAAATCTTTTAATATAGACACTTGGTGACAGCTGTTTAAGACAAGCCTTCCCTCACGTTTAGGAGATATTTCCTTACACTTCCTGCTGTGTCTACGGGACAAAAGACAAATCTTCCAAATGGGACAAACAACCTGACAAGGGTTTTCACTCTATCCTAATGTATTAAAAACTAAAAAGCTTGGCAATCTGTTCCATATTCTTTGAATTTGCAAACGCATAACCAGCTTCTGGAGGAAAATCTTCCAAATTACATCAGAAGTGACTGGAGTCCTGGTGTCCCCTACACCCTTGCTATCTTGAATTTGTCAATTGATAAGTTTACAGCCATACTCTACACAGTAGTGACACACATACTTTTAAGCCAACCATATACAGAGTGATTTTCTTTCTTACAATCAACACAGTCAGTGCTGATGGGGGAATCCCTCCCATGGAGTTATTGTGTGCCATCCCCGTCAGGAGAACACAGTGACTACTGCTAGCAGCTATAATAGCTGCTAGCAATAATCGCAAATCCAAAAGGCTGGTTGTACCTAAGTTTATCGACTTATCAATTTTATCAAGTTTATCAATTCAGCCTGCCCATACATGGTTTGAATCTTGGCCAGTTCTTGCTGAACCAGCTGAGATTTAAACCGTCTATGGCTGGCTTAAGCTGCCAGGATCACTTTTACCAGATACTGGAAGCAAAGTTTAGCACCTAATCTATCAAAAACTATTACTATATTTAAGTCTCACTACCTATATGAACGAATTTTGGCCTTGAGGAGTGACAATTTCTCAAAATTCGAGAATTCATGGAAGCCGTGGACCAATTGGTTTACAAGACATTGACTTTACCTTGTGTTTCTGCCTTACTTTGTACTGCATAATTTTGTTTTTTTTTATGTTCTGCAGATCCCATGTCTTCTGTTTTTTACCTTCAGGCTGAAGGGCTGTAATTACTTTCTGTCTACTCTGACCCTCAAGTATTGTCTGGGGCAGACACCCATTTAGAATGTACTTTTCTTTAATCAATAAAAACATATTGAAATAAAAAAAATAAATAAAAGCTGTGGCTTTAGATACAGTATATCTTAAATGTAAACCTTTCTTTGTTCACAAAGGGGTAAATGCGTAGAAGCTCATTGGTTAAATAGTGCAAAATCATTTATTCTCTGATGTTGATGAATTATTGTTTAATATACAGACAATTAGAATAGAATACATTTATTATATAAGGATTTAATGCTGAATTTTGTTTAATAAATATGCTTTCAGGCACACTGTGTACTTTATCGTTCACTAATACTTTAACTTTTTTGTCCTAGATTACACTTCACAGTTTTCCACACAGAAGAAGTTCATGATGTGTTGAAGATATGGGATGGCTCAATAGAGAGTGGAATTCTCATGAAGGAGCTCAGTGGTTCCATTTTACCCCCTGACATACACAGCACCTTCAATTCTGTCACTCTCCAGTTCAACACAGATTTCTTTACCAGCAAACAAGGGTTCTCTATTCACTACTCAGGTAAGATATATCTTGGTTTTATATCCTGGTATCCAATCATAACATTCAGATTCTACTACTTATTGGACCTGATTCAGCCAAAGCCCCAGCAGTCTCTTGTGAGGTCGAAGAACAGCAGGCATCACAGCATTGTCACACATGTGGAAATGATCTTCTGCATCTAATCAAGAATTATATGCTAAAGATATATATTTTTTTACTGATTGCCTAGTCACATTAAACTGTGCTAATGAAACCCAGCTAGACAGCAGATCTTAAAGCGATACTACAAGCAAATATAACAGACACAGTTATGCACCTCTATATTTATTTAGAGCTGATTCACACACATATGGTGCAGATTAAAACTCAAGTTTAACAGTTAGTTGTTCAACAGTTCAGGTCACATTAACATCAGGCTCATCACAGGTTCAGGTCAGGATTATCCTGTCCACACATGTGTGGTTTAGAAAACGGTTCCCATAGAAGTCAATAGCCTATATTCCACACCTGAACCAGACCACACTGCTCAGAAATCGTACAGGACTCTTTTTCAATCTGTACTGAATCCGCACTGCAAGTGCAGCAGACATATGTGAACAGGCACCATCAGAAGCAATGTTATTTTCAGGGCTGGTGCTTCAACTAGGCAAACTAGGCGGGGCCGCCTAGGGTGCACTGCCACCTATGGGCGCCTGGGCACAGCACAAGCCGGCACTTTCTCTGTGTGGGATGGCACCACATCATAAATGGTTCTCCAGCTGAGGGGAGGGGCGGCAGTGAGGAGGAGAGTACAGAGAAGGACATAGAAAGATGCCCGGGTTCTGGGGCCAATGTAGAAGCTGAGCTGCCACTCCTTCCAGTTTTCCTCTCAGACTCAGTCCCTTACTGCAAGCCAGCTGGCAGCTGCTGATCACTGTAGAGTTCCAGCCCTTCTCTTCCCATTCATCAGAGGAGGTGGAGCTGTGCCTGAAGAGGAAGGTAATATCTGACTCTGATATCCGGTATCTGTGTGACAGTGACCCACCCGGCCGGCTGGCCATCCATCACATATCCAATGTGCCAGTGAATGATGACATCATCATGATCCCACAGCCTGCTCTTCTAGTGCCTTCTGTACCTGCTGATCTGTCTCAGTGTTGGTGATGTATTGTATCAGATCTGTCACTGTGTGGGATCGTTCAGTTCAGGTGTTCTCTGTGTGTGTGGGCTGGGCTGCCTACTGTCACAGTGTTTTATCTCCCCCCATTGCCTGGGGAATTCCACCATGGGATTTGTCAGAGTGTGGATCTATCATCCTCCACTCACTGCAACTGTGAACCTGCCACTGCCAGCTACAGATAAAGTCCATCTGTGACACTGATTTTGTCTTTAATCACTTGCCGACCGCCCTATAGCAGAAATTCTGCCACAGGGTGGCAGTGGTGTGCAAAATCACAAATATATACCGTATTTACCGGCATATAAGGCGACTGGGTGTATAAGACGACCCCCTAATTTTCCAGTTAAAACATAGGTTTTGGGCTATACTTGTCGTATAAGACTACCCCCTTCTGAGGCAACACCATTTAACCCCTTGCCTACAGGGCACTTATACCCCCTTCCTGCCCAGGCCAATTTTCAGCTTTCAGCGCTGTCACACTTTGAATGACAATTGCGTGGTCATGCAACACTGTACCCATATGAAATAGGTGGCACTGATGGGCACTGATGAGGAGGCACTGGTAGGTGGCACTGATGGGCATTGACAGGCATCACTGATGGGCACTGAAAGGCAGCACTGATACATGGCACTGATATATGGCACTGATAGGCAGCACTGATAGGCAGCACTGACTGGCACTGTTAGGTGGCACTGGATGGCACTGATAGGTGGCACTGGCTGGCACTGATAGGTGGCACTGATAGGCAGCACTGATGGGTGGCACTGATTGGCAGCACTGATAAGTGGCACTGATAGGTGGCATTGATAGGTGGCACTGACTGACACTGATGGGTGACACTGAAAGGCAGCTCAGATGGGCACTGATATGTGGCATTGATGTGCACTGGTAGGCACTGATATGTGGCATTGATGTGGCACTGATGGACACTGACAGCTGGCACTGCTGGGGCTGATGATCAGTGTACATGTCCCCTCTGCGGAAAGCCGATTACCGGCTCTCCTCTCCTCTGTCAGCATGACAGCTCTAGAGGAGAGAAATGCCGATAACCGTCATTTCCCTGTTTACATGTGATCAGCTGTGATTGGACACAGCTGATCACATGACCGAGCCGACATCTTCGGCTCTTTCCGTGAACGGTGATCCGCTGTGTCCGAGGGACACAGCGCATCACCGCGCATGCGCGGAGAATGGGAGGACGTCATATGAGCCAATCATGGCAAGTGATGTATTCTATTAATGAATACAGAGCCTTCTTGGATTGGCTGCGTCAGAGGGGCGGGCTGATGATGTCACAACTTCAGCCAATCCGAGCAGGCTCTGTATTCATTAATGGAATACATCGCTCGCCGTGATTGGCTCAGCGCGGTACACTGTATGTAGCTGAAGCTACCGTACAGTATTACCGCACATCCAGCGGTTCTATACCCGGCGTATAAGATGACCCCCCAATTGTTGGGGTATGTTTTTAAGTAAAAAAAGTCGTCTTATACGCCGGAAAATACGGTGTATATATACAGTCATGGCCGAAATTGTTGGCACCCTTGATATTTCTCCAGGAAATCATGTATTTCTCACGAAACGTATTGCATTAACACATGTTTTGCTATACACATGTTTATTCCCTTTGTGTGTATTGGGACAAAACAAAAAAAAGGGAGGAAAGAAAGCAAATTCGACATAATGTCACACAAACCTCCAAAAATGGGCTGGACAAAAGTATTGGCACCCTTTCACAACTGCGGATAAATAAGAATGTTACAAGCATGTGATGCTCCTGTAAACTCACCTGGGGCAAGTAACAGGTGTGGGCAATATAGAAATCACACCTGAAAGCAGATAAAAAGGAGAGACGTTCACTTAACCTTTGCATTGTGTGTCTGTCTGTGCCACACTAAGCATGGACAACAGAAAGAGGAGACGAGAACTGTCTGAGGACCTGAGAACCAAAATTGTGGCAAAATATCAACAATCTCAAGGTTACAAGTCCATCTCCAGAGAACTAGATTTGCCTTTGTCCACAGTGCGCAACATTATCAAGAAGTTTGCAACCCATGGCACTGTAGCTAATCTCCCTGGTCGTGGACGGATGAGGAAAATTGATGAAAGATTGCAACGCAGAATAGTCCGGATGGTGGATAAGCAGCCCCAACATGTTCCAAAGACATTCAAGCTGTCCTGCAGGCTCAGGGAGCATCAGTGTCAGCGCGAACTATCCGTCGACATTTAAATGAAATGAAACGCTATGGCAGGAGACCCAGGAGGACCCCACTGCTGACACAGAGACATAAAAAAGCAAGACTACAGTTTGCCAAAATGTACTTGAGTAAGCCAAAAGCCTTCTGGGAAAACGTCTTGTGGACAGATGAGACCAAGATAGAGCTTTTCGGTAAAGCACATCATTCTACTGTTTACCGAAAAACGGAATGAGGCCTACAAAGAACAAAACACAGTACCTACGGTAAAATATGGTGGAGGTTCAATGATGTTTTGGGGGTTGTTTTGCTGCCTCTGGCACTGGGTGCCTTGACTGTGTGCAAGGCATCATGAAATCTGAGGATTACCAAAGGATTTTGGGTCGCACTGTAGGGCCCAGTGTCAGAAAGCTGGGTTTGCGTCCAAGATCCTGGGTCTTCCAGCAGGACAATGACCCCAAACATACGTCAAAAAGCACTCAGAATGGATGGCAAAGAAGCGCTGGAGAGTTCTGAAGTGGCCAGCAATGAGCCAGATCTAAATCCCATTGAACACCTGTGGAGAGATCTTAAAATTGCTGTTGGGAAAAGGTTTGTTTTGTCCTTCCAATAAGAGAGACCTGGAGCTGTTTGCAAAGGAAGAGTGGTCCAAAATTCCGGGTGAGAGGTGTCAGAAGCTTATTGATGGTTATAGGAAGCGACTGATTTCAGTTATGTTTTCCAGCAACCAAATATTAAGTTAAGGGTGCCAATACTTTTGTCCAGCCCATTTTTGGGGTTTTGTGTGACATTATGTCATATTTGCTTTTCTGCCTCTGTTTTATATTTGTTCCAATACATACAAAGGGAATAAACATGTGTATAGCAAAACATGTGTTAATGCAATACCTTTTTTGTGTGAAATACTTGATTTTCAGGAAAAATATCAAGGGTGCCAACAATTTCGGCCATGACTGTATATATATGTCATTTTGCATTTACGGGAAGGGGGCACGCGCCCTACCCGCGCAGCCATTTGAGGCCATGGCTGTCAATCACTGGGCCCCGGCCAGTAATTACTCACCGGCACACCGGTGATTTCAGAGGATGTCCGACGGGGAATAGGACTGTTTTATTTACTAACAGCTCTCCTCTCTGTCAGCTCGGGCATACTGCTGTGGATGGCTGTGCACAGCACAGCCATCCAGAGCAGTGTGATTACAGTGAATCACACACGCCACCACCTTGTAAAACACTCCCAGCACACAGTTAACCCTTTTATCACCCCTCATGTTAACCCTTTCTTGCCCAGTGCCATTAGTACAGTGTCAGTGCTTTTTTTTAGCACTGATCACTGTACTGGTGTCACTGGGGATGTCAGTGACTCCAAGTCAGTTCCCCCCAGTGTTAAAATGTCCACCGCAGTCCTGCTATAAATCGCTGATTGCCGTCATTACTAGTAAAAATTGAAAAAAAAAAAATGAGTTGGCTCGCTCAATAAGTGCTGCAGTGCAAGGAGCATGCTAAGAGGAGGAGAGAGCAGAATTATAGAGAGATTAACTCATCAGTGTGTTGCTTCTCTTTATACTGCCATGTCACAGGCTGGGTTGGGGATCAGATCTGTTAGTGCTAATGTGCTACAGCAGAGAAATGTCAGGTCTCCTCCCCTACCATAAGGGGTGATGTGGTGTGGCAAAGCTGTATAAATCTTTAGGCTGGATGAACAGCAATACAGATCCTTTGACAGGTAAAACACCTCCCTGTATTTACCTGTTTGCTTGGAGTTCAACTTTAGATGAGGGTCTAGATTAAAGGACCAAAGTAGTGAATTGAGGGTGGAATGGTATGGGCCTAAATTAAAATAAGGCTGCTTTGACTCTGCTATGTTGCAAAAACACAGTAAAACTGCATATACATTTTTGCTGCGTTTTTGAAGCATTTCTGGTGTGTTTTGCTCCTATGAAAAAAGGACATGACTCAAAAATACAAGTGGAGGTAGAGAATCGGTGTGTGTGTGTGGGGGGGAGGCTGTGCAGGACATCAGGGATTCAGGCTGGATGGGGCCACTTCGTGGAGAAGGAAAGAAGAACTGCAGACCACTGGTATGGCTGACGAGCAGGACAATCAATCCCACAGGCAGGTGGATCGTAGTGCTGTCATCAATATTGCTTCTTAATAGAGGGACCAAGAGACCACTCCCTTCTCCCCCCACACACCCACAGAGACTACCTTTTACGCTGCAAAGGCTACAAACTGGGTGAAAGGGTTTCATAACCCATATTATCACACATTGCAAGTGACTGTGTTAATTTCAGTTGTTCAGTTCAGTACACATTACACCACAGATTATCACACTATAGGCACCCAGACTGCCTAGCCCATCCAATATTACAGCCTATTGCTTTAGTGTCTCACTAAAATCCTGAAACTGCAGGACTCTGGCCACAGCATGTACTAACTGCAGACAGGATTACACTAGTATCTCATTTCAAACCTTTTACAGCTCCAAAGGAACTTGTTTCACCAGACTAGTTTACCATCGTTAGGGGTTCAACCTCTGCTGAAGTCTGCTTTCTCCCCTTTGTTCAATTTTATCCAATTCTTGCCTTCATCCTTTGTGTTGGGGAGATCTTACCCAGTTTCAACATCACTCAAAGGGGAATCTTTCTATGGTTATATCATCCTAAAGATTTCTTGCTCTTACACAAGAAGGGATCTGAACTGTAATGTGCACAAATAACTAGGGCCCCATCAAGCTCGCAGAAGATTTGTCACCATTCTTTAATGAGATATGAAAGTGGACTGCTTATAACAAAAGTATTCATCTCAAGAGTTAAACCCAGTTACCAGCAACTGTGAACCCAAAAGGGAGTTAACCTGACATCTTGATAGTTCACTTCAGCACACTTGGGGAGAGATATCTCAGAAGCTGGAATTGATGTGTAAATTCTGCTCCTGCAGGCCACCTTGGTTTGCTTAAAGTGCTTCTGTGCCTTATTACTTTGTTGAACCTTTTAGGTTGCCTGTTTTTTTATTTATTCACATCTACTGTCATTCTTATTGTGCTTGCACTCTTTATACTCTGCCCTCAATACAATTAGAATATTTGCTCACCTTAAACTGTGTGTTTATTTTATGGCTCAAAGCCAGGGAGTTCTCCTTGTCAAAGTTTCACGGTGGTGTCAGCAGGGGCTGTACTTTCAAAGCAGGCTCAGAACAGACAGGGAACTTAAAAATACTCAGAGGCTCTTAAGGGGGTAACACCACACATTTGTGTGTCCCAAAAACAGACAACAAATTTTAAGTGTTTAATGGTGCGATTGTGTACATACATATGTACTGTACACATTTATTCCCTTGTGTATAATGTTTGTAATAAACACATCCCCCTTGCTGTTATAATGCATAAGAAATGCTCTTCGCTCAAATTATATTCATGAACTTATTGCCATCAAGTGTCTCCTTCTCCCAGAAGACCATAAAAAACGCAGAGGCCTCTTGAAACAGCGAGAAAATAATGTTTCTCTAATATCAGATTAGATTAGAAAGCTAATCAGGCGTTTAGCCTCTGACAGGCTCCCCTCCCCGCTAAGCCTGCACCTTGTAATGTAGAAATGATAGCAAGCAGAAAGTTGGAGATGATTGTTCCCTATCGCTCGTTTTTTCTCAATGCCAACATTACGGTGCAGAATTGTCTCTCATAAATTGAATCTATGCCCACATGAAAAGACACTGCAGATGGAGGTGAAATGCATTATCCGCCTGCTAAAATAGCTCCAAGCTGCTGTACAGGGTCATTGATGCTGCTCTGCTGATCATGATAACTCCTTATTTCCTAGTGTGTCAGGTTTATACGGTATTCTGCATCACAAAGAAGCTGATTTATGGTATAGGGAGAATAGAAAAATCAGAGCTGTCCATAGTCACCAGTGAAATTACATTGTCCTGGAATGCATAGAAATTAAAGCAGGTATATGACATAAGCAATACA